GGAAGTGACCAGAAACATTAATTCTTCATTTTCTTCGCTCTACAGGCACTCGTGACACGATACCGCTACAGACGTACCAGTATTATGTTTTACCAAATATGATCTTTCATGAATCTCAGTAAACACATCAGATGTGACACGTGCAGTTTAAACAATCCAACTGTTTTTAATGGTTTTATATTAAAGCATTTCATCACATTGCACTCCACTGTTGTATGTTGCACAAGTTCCATTATTACAGATGAGCCAGATCATGATTTATTGCAACTCATACAGCATTTGAACTGATGGGAAAACAAATAACTATTTCTACCCTGCAGGTGGTGGATGGGTTACAGAAGTCACTGGTAGAAGTTGAGGTAAAATGTGGGAAATGCACTCATTAGCTTTTTTGCCAAGAGTTAGAGAAGACTGGTAACACTCTGTGTGTAATCTTTATGCTCTGCTACGCTAATCATCTCCTGCCTGTAGCCTCATATTTAATGGAAAATTTATAATGTGGTGCCAGTCTTCTAATTCTTCTCTTCACAAAAAAAAAGCAAATAAAAGTCAATTATTTCACCAAAATGTGAACTATTCCTTTACAGAAGAGCAGTCTCTGAATCTTCAGTGGCAACTGAAACATTCCTTTCCCTTTCCTCGTTTACAGCAAATGACACATTTCTGTTTAGTGCATGGCGGTGTGGGGTTCCCGGCTGATTTTTCTGCCTCCTTTCTGCTGTGATCCTCAATATTTTTCCTCCTTTTACTTTTTCTTTCACCTGCAGGTGGCAGATCCTGCTCTCACTCTGTCAGCTTCAATGATGGGGCAAAATATGCCTTTAATTTGTAAATAGCTCATGATATGTATTTTCCTTTCTGCTGTTCTGATAACAGAAGGTGGATCCCTCAAAAGCTGGAACACTAGAGGCTGCTGCAAAGCCAGAACCGCCACCGGTTGTTCAGGAAGAAAAGAAAGCCTCGAAATCACCATTCAGCTTCTTCAAGCCTAAAGTAAGGATCTGCTCACTTTAGCCTTTATTAGCCTCTAACCTGTCTGAAAATCTCTGGGTCCGAACTGTGGTGGAATTTCGAAACAGAAAGTAACAGACTGATGTGACTTTGAGGTACTGTTTCACCACATGACCACAAAAGTCCAGGCAGCATCCGCAAGCCGGGTTCAGCTTGAGAAAAGATGCATTATTAACCAGAACAATTTCATCAGTTACATTTGGCTTTAAAACTAAATTTCTTTGACAGAAGAATCTTTTATCATTTTTTAAGTTTGAAAACCATAACAACACACATCAGTGCTTCTACGATCATCCCTCAGAAGGTTCAGTGTTGGTTACCAGTTACTTTACAGTTGACCTACAGCAAAGTTACCCTAAGGAGAAATGTAGCTTGGTTGATTAAGGCTATTTAGAAAAAGTAGTTCAAAGTACTTTGTGGAAAAAAATGATCAAATTGATAAAGTGCATGTGATACAAATTATAAAAAAATGTAATACAGAAAAGTCACATGTTAGCAAAAGGTACCCATGTATTCACAGGTCGTATTAAACCTAAACAAACAAACACATAAATAAATAAATAATACCCCGCTATTAAAAGGGGAAGTGCTCTAGAGCCAGGTATCTATCACGGCTGAGTTGACAGCCCAGCTTCCTCAAAAACCCGTGAGACTCCGATTATGGTCCCAAATTGTTTGTAGTTTTAGTAGTTGTGTAGTAACTACACACAAAAAAAATTGTAATTTACTACTTGACTCACTAACTAATGAATGTTGTCGATGAACGAGCAATCAACTGCAAAATGTAGTTTGACTACTAGTTGAATTACAGTTACACTACACCCCAGCACTGTTAACACTTTAATCACTAGGACACACTGGATCCTAACAGCAAATGTACCATTTAACACCACTTAAAATGTGTTCTCAAAGTACATCTGCACTTACTGTAATGACTGGAACACATAAGACACTGTCGTCATCTGTTGCTCTGGGACAGTAATAATACATTTCTCCTTATGTACCTCAACACTTTCAGGCCGCTGAGCCCAAGATGGAAACATCTGCCCCAGCTGGAGCAGAAGAGGCAGCTCAGGCAGTTAAACCTAAGGAAGAAGTGAAAATAACAGTCAAGACGCCAGATATAGTTGTATATAACAAACCAGCAGCCGACCAACCTGGAGATGACGGAGCCAAGGCACCCAAGAAAGCGGAGAAGACGAACTCCATGCATTCATTCTTTAAAAGTCTGGTAGGGAGAACATCACTTTTTCTCAAGTATTCTTGGCTGTGACTCTGAAGTAGAAGTGCTTCACCCTTAAAAGGCATATGTGCACTAACTCAGTTTTGTTTTGAACAGTCATCTCCTCTAGATGGCAGCAGTAACTCACAAAGCAACTGAAGGTGTAGCTCCTACTACACAGTGCAGTGTACATACAGTACACATCCTGAGAATGGCAGTATTTTATATTCGGTTTTCATAACTCAGTTCATAAATTTGATTGTCCTCACAGTAACCTAATTCAGAGGGGACATATTTTATGCTGTGCTGCAAGCCATGGAGTTTAGTGAAATGATCACAAAAAGGATAAAAAACAAGGACATCAAGTTACTAGTGTAAAGAACAAGGGTTTTAGGAGACTCAGATAAATGACAAATAAAGGTTTAATTAAATATAAACTGGCTTGAATAACAGTAAATACAGTACAGTATAGTAAATACTATTGTTGCTTTCAATTTCAGGGTCAGAAACGTCCCTCTACAGATGCCGGGGTCCAGACAGAGGCGGAGGCGGCTGTAGCAGCCAAATGAAGCCAAAACCAACACTGAAGTTTCCCTGTACAGACTCCCTCTCACTCAGTCTTTATATATCACCCCTCTGAATTACTTTAACTACATATTTTGTTTTCATTACTGTTTATAAGTTACAATATAAAAGCTAAGGTTACTGGAAGAATAAAAGAAAGTGAAAGGTTGAGAGAGTGTTGTGAACAGGTAGTTGAACAAGTGGTGGTGAGTTTATAGATAGATAGATAGATAGACAGACAGACAGACAGATAGATAGATAGATAAATAGATAGACAGACAGACAGACAGATAGATAGACAGACAGACAGATAGACAGACAGATAGACAGACAGACAGACAGACAGACAGATAGATAAATAGATAGACAGACAGACAGACAGATAGACAGACAGACAGATAGATAGACAGACAGACAGACAGACAGACAGATAGATAAATAGATAGACAGACAGATAGATAGATAGATAGATGTCATGACAGGTTTAGCATTGTAAGTGTGAAACCTTTTCTACAGACATTTATTGTGACTTATCTTTGTCCTTGCAACCTAACACACTGGGCTTATGTATTATAATGTACCAAGCTTTGCTTTTAGCACTTAATTTGTCTGAAACATTTATAAACACATTGTCATTTAGGTTATTGTTTACAGTTCATTCTAGAAAACTCAAAAAGTGCCTAAATGTATACATGGCATTAAACATGACGGCTTCTAATAGAGCTGATAGGAGAAGCATGTTCATATAACAAACTGCACTTACAGATTTATGTAGACTAAAGCATGTAAGTACATGTCATAACATTTACTGGGTCCTACAGAAAATCACAATCTTTGCTGTTCTATGGGGAACTGATTGTAATGATTCATATTAACAAATGCATCAGAAGTAGCAAAATGGCGTCGCTGTGTAAATGTGTCCCCGTGATACGTTTTGAAGTCATAAATCACAGACCTGATCTAATCTGATAGCAGCACTTTGTGTCACGTCATTTAAACAAAATATTATGGTGTTAGTCATTTGTGTTTGGAATATGTGCAATTAATATCATGCTTTTGTTTGCCTATGAATGCATGTATGTGAAACTTCAGTTATCTTGAAGACAATAAATAGCCTATTAGAAGATATGATCTGTTTTTCATCAGCGTAAACACTGGAATTGATAAATACATCTGCAATGACTGCAAAAACACATGTTTTAACCAGATTGGCAAAAATCTATTTTAACATTATTTTACTGGTGACATCTAAATCAGTTTTTGCACCAAAACTTGCAGCTATACTCACAAAATGTGACCTGTGAGACATTCTTTGCTATGTTGGGTGTAGAGGCACTGTACAGTACGTACGTCTTACTCAGCTATGTATTTATTTGTACCACTGACGGACAGGTGACAGTTACCTGACAGATAATGGTTGCAAAAAAGAAAACTAACCGCAATGCAGGCCATTATTTGTGACTGTGGCAGACAGGGAGGTGACTGCTGGACATCACTACTGAACACTAATTTACATTTTTAGAGTCCATGAGACACTCATACAGATAAAAGAGGTAAATAAAACAAGATCTGTGGAATTGTATAGTCCATGTAAAGAAAGCCCTCAAACCTTCCTCTACCTTTTATGATGTCATTTCTATGACTGATGGCACCCTGTGCAGTCTTTGGAGGGATGTGTTTTAGATAGTGATGCCTGACACCCACCATGCACCGATCATTAAGTGATGAGTGCCGGTCCCTGAAGGCATAACTCACACTGCTGCTTTGTTATCAACGAGACACACTCTTCTCGCATTACCCTCTGTAATAGGTGTGATCATTTTAAATTGTGCATCAAAGTAATTGCCGTGGTACTGAAGGGGAAAAAGCGAGCTAGTGGATTGCTTGCACAGTTAAGACATGTGGCCTATTGTTTGTCCTTTTCCCTGAGGATTGTTTCAAATTGAGATGCAGTGTGACAGTCCTGCCACAAGTATTGCTGGAATGTGTGAAGAGCTCATGCTCATTACTAAACATAAAGTATAATGCTGGTGGAACTGGAAGATACACATTCCAAATGGATCCTAACAAGACAGAATTTGAAGAAACTGACATTTAAGCTTCTGAAATGTCTATTCTATATTTGTCAAATTAATGGGGATATCACACAAACTAAATGTAGTCACAAAGTGTTTGAGCAATCCAAAAATCATCAACATTATTTTGAAATGAAATCTCTACAGAACCTACACTGAGCCTTGCCAGCAGTTCCTGGTGACTTTACTTTCCTCATGTTGTTATTCAGAAATTTGCCCAGGCTTTTATGCATCTGGGTGTCCCAGCAAAACGCTGTTTGCTGGATTGTAAGCTTTTTAAAGGGAAGGCTTGTCTGTACAATTATTAAAGCAATCAGATTTCATGAGGGCCGGTCAGTCCTTTCTGCATGACCGCTGACAATAATAAACTGAAACCTATTTAAACAGAAATATGTAGGTTTGGATCAACACTGCTAAGCTGCACACGATCTGCTCTGGCCACCATATTGCTGCAGTTCATTTCAGGACAATGCATGCGACTGAGTAAATGCACTGAGCTCAGAGGGGGTGGAACAAGGGAACAGTGGGCAGGGAGGCCTGACAGGAGGCCTGCTGTCAGCACTAATGTGTGTCATGGCACTGCTCACAGGTCTGTACTGGGGTGGGGGGGGATCTTTGGGTGAAACACTTCCAGGGAAGACAGAAGACACCATCCCTGATTCTGAACAAATGAATACAGTGACCTAAAGGACAGTGTCATTCACTCTGACCGAGGATGAATCAGCAGCTCCTGTCATCACAGTCTGTATGTTTGTGTGTCATGGAGGCATTCTAATGTAGATGTGCTCAGGTTTTTCAGGGAGCTGTTACTAAATCCAGCTGTAGGGACAAACACCATCTGTAGTTTGGTACTGGAAATCCTATTAACCACTAAAACTATTTTAATGTCATTCAAAATACTAAATGGTATTCAGACATTTGTTTGAGATGATGTGAGATATTGTGGTGAGCTGTGTGTTGAGACCAATGTTAACCTTACAAATCCCATTGTAAATGATAAGATTTTTAGGGCAAATGCTTCTGTTTATATTTTTGTGTTCTTTTTGGATCCAGAATAATTTGTTGTGAGTAAAAAGTATTATGCTAGAACTGTATCATTTCTTTTTTTGTGCCCAAAATAAAAAGGTAATACTGAAACAGCTATGCTAAATCTTAGTCAAAATAGATTTCTAAGGTAAAAAAAAAATCTTAATGAAAGTAGGTCACATTTTCTGATGGGTTATCATGAAAAATATTTATGTCCCAAAATCATGTTCTTTATGTTTGACAGGAGATCACGGTGGCAAGTATCACACTGTCACTTTATAGGAACATAATAATGGAAGCGATCAAAGGGGCAGTATGTGAGATGTAGTGACATCTAGTGGTGAGGTTGCAGATTGCAATGTTCAGCAAAGCTCTTACGTCACGTTCAACAGCCCTCACAAATGTTTCACGGCGATTGACGTAAATATAGGACAAATTGCGCACTCGGAAAACCAAATAAACGCTAACGACGGCTCACTTGACTACAATATAATTTTCACATATTAAGATGTGCAATAATACAACTTTATTCATTAGACCCATCAATAAACACTGAGCCAGATGTCAAACGTCCATCTTGGCCACTCCAAGCAGCATTAACGTAATTACAAAAAAAGAAGCCCAACAAAGGTCAAACTGCAGCTGGTTTGACCGAGTTATTTCAATCGACGTCTCACTTGACCAGTTAACGTTATCCCTTTTCTTCGTGTCTTTTCTTCTTTGACGGTGGATTTTCATGCTGTCTTCCTTTTTCTTGTGTTAAAGTATAACCATAATCCTCCATTTAACAAATTATAGTTCTTAAACAAACCCACGACAATGATCCCCTGCTTTCTAATATTGCTTCTTTTTGTCTTCCAACCATTTCCAAATCCAAGCTGCTACTTCCACGAGAAAACGCAAATTTCACGTCACTGTGTCCAATGTTGGCTATTGTAAAAATAACATGACGATTCAACATGGCGGCCTCCATGATGGGTGACCCGCTCCTATGTAGATATAAAAGACTCATTCTAAGCTAAAGAAAATGCAGCAATTCTTATTTTCTGATGATTACACATTAATGATAACATAATTATGTACACTAAAGCCCATTTCTGCTCATAAATCCTTCTATTTATTACAAACTGCGCCTTTTACTCTTTAACACACTTGTTGAGTTATTTAATTTGGTGTATGATTTTATTTCTTGTGTTGTATCTGCCAAGTAACTGGTGTCTGATGTTTTTTATGTGTAACCGTTTTTGTACATCATTGTAGTATCATCAAAAGGTCTGAAAAAAATGTTTAATACAAAGGTCCCACAGAAAGCAGGACACTAACATTAGAACAAAAAGATTCCTTCTGCTTTCAGGTTCTCCTCAGGAAATAACGTATATTTCAACCGTGTAGAAATAGTTACACCACAGAATGCCTCTGGTAAGTGATAACATTTCTCTCAGGCTCAACAACACAACAGCTGGTTGCAGTGAATAAACATTACCGATTAGGGGCGAGAAAGGAGATTATATATTGCCAGTGTCCTTCAGGAGCGACACTAGGATTTTGAAAGAAGGCAGACTGTGAATCTGCAGGAGAACAATGCAGTCAGCTGCTTCTGACACATCGAGACAAAAGGAAGCCACCTCAGCCTTTCCTAGTCTGTAGTTCTTATCAGGGTGTCTGTGTAATGAATACATAATAATTCATTCAAGCATTCAGTGTTTCATAAATGCTCTATCTTTAATTAGACTTTACTGCTTACGGTTTAGTGCTGAATGCATGCATGTATGTTTGGTTTTGTGGAGGAACAATCTGAGACAATGCGTTTGCAGGATTTTAGGGGAGAAATTACATTAGCATAAAGTCAAACAATAGGACAAAGTTAATTAAATCAGTTAAAGGTAAACAATGCTTGCCCACTT